AAAAAACCCTCAAAAATCAAACAATCACCCACCCCCCAAAAAACCCCCAAAACAAACAGCTGAGAACCAAACTTGGTTTTTAAAAAATTTTTTAAATCATTAATCTGATAACCAATATTGAATTAAACTGACATGAATATCTATATTCATCCTGCTGAATGGGAGCATTCATATGGCTTACTGCAGAAACATTGTTTGATAACAGGGATCTGTTCCCAGTCCCTTTAGGGAGTGTTACTTAATATATCTGCTCTGAGTTATCTAAGATTCAAGTGTACCTAAATTTCAAAATATATTGGACCTAAGGAGTTCCAGATGGAGGATTATGCCACAAATATCCATGACCATTTCTTCAGAATGCATCAGAAAAGCAAGTGAATTGTAGTTGATAATATTTGAAAGTTGGCAGAAACATTTAAGAAATTACAGGTAGAAAAATAGCACAGATACTAATCGTAATACTTGCATTTGTCCACCCCACTAAGTTTACAAAACATTTATACTATAAATGTCTATTTTGTCTGTGGATAAGGAGGGGGAATTTTACCCTCCTATAAACTCTGTGAGGTCGGGGACTGTAGTGATGGTTTTCACCACTGTATTCTTAATCTATAACTGAGCCTGATGAATTCAATAAATATTTGCAGAATGCAATTAAGTCAGTTGAGCAGACCAGGATCAGATTTTAGGTGACCCACTCAAATTCTGGGATTGGTGGACTGGAACTCAGGTCTTCCAATACCCACACCAAAGTTTTTCTCCATATATTATCAATGTCTTGCCAAAATGAAAAGAAATTGAAATCCCTTCTGAGGTCATCAAAGAGATTAGACTATGAAAGAAGAAGAGGACTGCAAGGTTTTTTTGTTTCAGTTGGACTAACTTGACTGATCTATGTAAATAGCAAAGGGCTTTGTTTCTGGATAAAAAAGTGATTTTGATGGGTTCTAATCCCAGAGCATCCCTGGCAGTGGAAGATTGTAAAAGCAAACTCTTCACTCTGGAAAATAAAACCTATTAAATTCGAGGCATTGTAATTTTCCAGTGTGAGACTGTGGTAGCAGCAATTAAATTCTATTGTGTGTCTGCAGTCCTTGTCACTGGCGATGTTTCATATTATTAACTGAGATTCTAAGAATATCACCTCTCCTTAGCAAAGTGCCATTCTGCTCATGTGAAACAATTTGCATACATCTGATTTGCCCTGGATTTGTCGCTCCCTTGCTCCCTGTATCCTATTTAGAGCCCAGTCTGGTAGACTACATCTTCAAATATAATCTGTGGGAGTCCACTTCCCTACCCTCGTGGTTCCCATTCAGGTGATTCCGACAGCTCCCGAGCTGGTCGGTCTATGTGATCTCTGTTCTTGACACGGCAAGCAAACTGCTCTCTTAAAACACGGACACTGTCTTAAGCTGTGTTCCCTGGCAGCAAACCCTAAGATGAGGATGTGTGTGAAAGTGAGTGGTTAAGGAGTATTCCCAGGAAGGAGCAGACTAGGAGTGGGGAATGAGGCCAGGGCGGAAAGGAGGCAGAGCTAGCCTGCAAACTCAGAGTCCTGGGAAAGGTGACTTAGCCCACAGGGGAGCTCTGCGGCGTAGACCACACCTCAGACTGCCTCAGTCAGGAGCAAGGGAGCTGGGGTATTGATACCTCTTGTACCTATCAGACACTTGCCACGGCTGCAGCCAGAAGTCCTACATTCCCAGACAACTCAGGCTCTGAGTATGCAGGAAGGAGAGTGCCGTTACAGCAGCCCCGGGAAATAAACCGGCGGTGATGGTTTAGATTGTGAGTCGTGTCTGACTCTTTGTGACCCCATGAACTGTAGCCCGCCAGACGCCTCTGTCCATGGGATTTCCCAGTCAAGAATACTGGAGTGGGTTGCCGTTTCCTTCTCCAAGGGATCTTCCTGATCCAGGGATGGAAACGGGTCCTCCTGCATTGCAGGCATACTCTTTACCAGCTGAGCCACCTGTTAGTTTCATTGTACTGGCACAGAAACTGAAGTACAAGGTGTTTGCATAAACTGCCCACACCCACACGCTCAGGAGTGGTGGAGGCAGCCCCTGGCCCTGGAGGTCGTAGTGTCTGTCTTCTTACCACAGCTTCAGATGACGCTGAAATGTCTCACAGACGAGGAGGGCGGGAAGCAGCAGGAGTGCCAGAAAAGAGATCCACAAAATCACTGCCTCACAGTGCTCCAGAACTAAGAGGAAAGAGACTGAGACATGAGTGCAATAGGTGATTCTGAGCTTGGTCTTTTCACTACAAAGCCATTCTTAGGACACTTGGAGAAATATGTGTGGGATATTTCTGAAGGTTAGTTGGTAGGATATATAATGCTGGCTTCCAGATTCTGATGGTTGATTGTGGTTAAGTAAGAGAATTTTATGTTTGTAGGAAATAGACACTAAAGTGTTCGGGGCCTCAGGTCAAGTTCATGGAAAAATGGTTCTTTTTCCATACTTGTGACTTTACTGCACTTTTGAGATGGCTTCAAAATGAAAAAAAACAAAACCTTAAAATCCTCAAGCAACACTTATTGAATAATTATCTTAATTACAATGCTTAGCCTTGAATTTCAAAATAGATGTTTAGTAAGAACTTAGTCACAAAAGTCAGGCTTTTACAGGAAAGCACTGTTATTCTGGCTATTTCCTAATCTAAGCTTTTACACCTCAGGCACCAAGGCTTGTGGGCAGATCACAAAGTAAAACTTAAGAGTGGGAAAGATGAGGTTATGAGTTCAGAGAAATTTCCGATCTCACAAGACTGGAAAAGCCCTCATAAAACAGAAAGAAGGGCCCAGAGGTGTGGCCAGGATAGAGGCCAGCAGGAAGTCTAGGAGTTTCCTAGCTCTAGGTTTGAGGTCACCTAGGACTTTGGGTCTAGAACACAATTCTTGAGTTTGGAGTTTTGGGAGAATGTCAGCCCTCCAGGAAAGTTCTGTATTGGGCATGAGGGTGCCCAGCCTGGGCAACCTCTGAGGCTTGCCTTCTCCCAGCACAATAAGAAAGCAATCAATCCCCATACCTAGGAGCTTGTGGAACTGTTGTGTATTCCATTTGCCTGGAAGAAGACTGGTTTCAGGCAATGAAAACCTAGATGACTGGGACTTCATGCCATGCTGACATCCATGATCATTAATACCAAGTGCCAACACAGAGTCCAAAATGTAGGTGGATTCAATTCCATCTGGGTAGATATCAGCCCAGAATGCCACTGATCATGACAGTCATTGCAGTAAGGGTGGAGGAAGATACCTGAAGACCGCTAACAGAAGGAGGCCATGTGAAGGGGAGACTGCAGCCCGGACGTGCCTCCCCCGAGCTGTGAGTCTTTCCATGGCACCCGCGGTGTCTGGGGAAGGGGGCAAGGGCCGAGGCTGAAGAGGAACTCTGAAAGTTCAGAAAATACCCTAAAAAATAATTCAATAAAAAGTAGTGATGCCTTCAATTGATAAATGCTATCAGTAGTAATGACGCTTGAGAACAAAAAGATAGGATAGCAAAAATGGTTTCTATACTCTGGCTCCCCTTCCCCTGTTTTTAGCTCACCAGAGTCATAGTTACAAATGTCAACTTCTTTATAGAAACAATGAAGGTGATGAAAGTAATTAGGAGGCATGAGGGTGAGGTGGAAAGCATCCTTTACTAATACGCTCAGAGAGATGTCTTCTAGAACTGAGCCTTGGGTAAAGAGAAGAAACCAGTGATGGAACAGTTGGGAGAAAGGAGTGCTAGGAAGAAGAAATAGCCCAGGCAAAGGCCTTGAAATGTTATTAAGCTTGACATGGTTGAGAGCCCCCGGAGGAGGAAATGGCAACCCACACCAGTATTCCTGCCTGGGAAATCCCATGGACAGAGGAGCCTGGCGGGCTACAGTCCCTGGGGTCACAGAAGAGTCAGACAGGACTGAGTGACTGACCAAGAGCAAAACGAACGGTTGCAGTCACGGAAGGAGGCAGCGGGGCTGGAGCTTAGAAAATTAGTGGTGGAGGGACTTCTCTGGTGGTTCAGCGGGTGAGAATCCGCCTCCCAGTGCAGGGTACATGGGTTCCATCCTTGGTTAGGGAACTGAGATCCCACATGCCACGGGGCAACTAAGCCTGCATGTCACGACTCCTGAGCCCGAGCGCCTCATCTAGAAAGCCTGTGTGCTGCAAGCTACAGAGCCCGCCCACCACGATGAAAGTCGCCACAACTAAGACCTGATGCGCCCAGAAATAACTGAGTGTGTATTAAAAAGAAAGAAAGTTGATGGTGCAGAGACGGAGGGTGAGGAGGAAAGGTAGCAGGTCCGACCGTGGGGACCCTGGTGGACCACAGCGAGGAGGGCTGGATTTTATATGAAGCATGATGGGCACTTGAGGAATTTGAAGGATGCACACAGTGCAGGAAGTGCGTATATATGGAGTCTGGGAAGATGGGACTGACGAACCTCTTTTCAGGGAGCAGTGGAGACATAGACCTAGAGAACAGGCTTGTGGACACAGTGGGGGAAGGAGAGGCAGACACAGACTGAAAGAATAACATTGAAACATATACATCACTGTTGGCAAAGTGGATAAACAGTGGAGATTTGCTGCATGATGCAGGGAGCTCAAACCCAGGCTCTGTGACAAGCTAGGGGGTGAGGTGAGGTGGGAGGGGGGTTCACGCAGGAGGGGACGTACGTACACCTGTGGCTGACTCATGGTGATGTATAGCAGGAACCAATACAGCATTGTAAAGCCATTATCCTCCAATTAAAAACAAATGAAATAATTTAAAAAAGCTTGTGTCTTAAAGTGATCATTATGGCCTGTTGGGTAGAAATGGAAGCTCAGAGAATAGGAAAGAGGCTGTTACAATGTATAATAAGACCTGGAGTGAAGTGGGTGGATTCAAGATATAATTTGGATATATAATCCATCCCCCAGAATGACTGATGGATTGGCTGTGGGAAAAGAGGAAAAGTGAGAAAGTAATGATAATTCTCAAGGTTTCTGCTTGAAGGAGTCTCTCTGGTGGAGGAGTGGGTGGAGCCGTTGACCAAATGAAACGATTGGAGCAGAACAGTCCCAGGTGCTGTTCCATGGCTGATGCTTGGCTTCTCACTTGTCTTCTGATCAACACTGAAGAACATCTGCCAAACCATAATCTTGGTTACCATTGTCGAGGATGACGTCAGTGCCTACAATATTTCTAATGTAAAACCATCTCCAAGGCCTGTATTTTCATGTGAGGTGTTCATTTCGTTGGCAATTTATTAATGGCACTGTTTACATTTGCTCTTAGATGTGTTGCTGTAATTAAAATAACTCCTGAATGTATCACTTGAGCCCAGAAGAACGAATAAAGGCTTTACATGATGGAATAAGTCTCCACATTCTGTTCTCTTTGATACGAACAACCACATAAAGTTTTCTGACACATATAATGTTTGACATCAGTCAGAAAAAAGATGCAACAGAAATATTCCATGTTTAAAGCAGAGCTGAAAAAAAAGGACTAAAAAAAATTCCATATTGCATAAAAGAAAGAGTTAGGTTGCCACCGATGTGAAAGGAAATCAATGACACGACTTTGGAGACTCATTTCAATCTGTTGTTGACATTGTTTTCTGGGAGTAATTTTCTCAAAATGTTAACAGTATTGAGTTTGCCTATTGATTCTATTATTTTTGACCTTGCATGAGTGTGGGCTAATCTCACATGCCATAAAATCCCCTTTCACAGCTAAAATTATTGTATGACTCTAGAGGAAACCTCCGATCGGGTCAGGCACCTCCCCGCCCGCCGGGCTTTGATGAGTGTATAAGCAGCAGTAATGAGTTATGTTGACTTCCAGTACACTTCCCTGTTGTTTACATTTTATTAAATGGTTTAAGCAGGGTCATCATGTAAATGATCAACGTATTGACTGAAATGCTCATACCTAGATGGATTGAAGGCCAGAGACAGCCAACCTGATTGGCCAGCTTGAATTCGAGTCAATAACATAAATACGTATTTGGTTACAGAATCGAAGCCAACTTCATATTCATTATTCTGAAATCCCCGCTGAATAAAGAGCTGCAAAGGATACTACTGGAAGACACCTTTTCTTCTCATAGAGTCAGCCTCCCATTTACTTCCTCTTAAAAAAAATTCAAATCAAACAACAACAACAAAAAGTTCGGATCGAGTGAATTCTGCAGAGTTCAGGAGAGTCGCTGGAGACAGAGTGAATGGGAAACCAAAAGCTCTTGAATGGTTTTCCTGGGAAAAGAATAGATTTATTGTCTTTCTGAAGGGATAGGTCGACAGCTGTATTTTCAGAGTCTTTATGAAAAAGTCCCAGCATGCCAGTCCATCCATCGGCTCCCCACCCTGCCCTCCCACATATCTCCATAGGTGGTCAAACCACCTGTGGAGGGCGCACCCCACTCCACCCCTGGCAGCTCCCCAGTCTCTCTGCAAAGACGTTTCAGGATTTACTGGCACGATGCTAGTGGGTTTGCCCACATGTACTTTGAAGAGGATTGCTAGAGGAGTTAATTTGCCTCCTAATGATTTAATTATATGCTACAGCTCTGCTCTACAAGAATAACAACGTTCCTTACTTTCCTGCCTGGGGTGTGGATGCCGATTTTGGAGAATTTTGGAAAAGAGCGACACTTGCTCTTCTTAGAGAGAGGCCAGTTGAGTCACTGTGGAAGAGGGGGATGATTTTCCATGCCACAAAATAACATTTTTTGCCACTCATCCATCATGGAGTGAGCGTGGCAGAGATGACCATAATGAGATGTGCTGTGGTTTTTGTTCACATTCTCTTGATCGAGCCTGTGAAGTAATATCAGTTTTTATTTTCATATAAGCTCAGTGAGGCTCCTTGGCTTGTCTGATACAGAAAGTGGATGAGCTAGGAGTCCCACTGAAATCTTTTGACTCGAAAACCCCATTTTTTCCCCAATACTCGAGCACCTTTCTATAGCTTAAAAGGCCTTCCTCGGCCATGCAAGTTGAGCTCTTTGGAAGCAGATCCTAAAACAGAACTGGAGGTTCAAGACATTTCCTGGGATCAATGCCTACAGAAAGAAGGGGAAAAAAGCAACAGTGGGCAGAGGCAGAGTTGAACTGAAGTCAGGCCTGATAGGGTGAGCTCTGGGGCAGACGCTGGCCGTCATGGTGTCCTGTGTCGGGCAGAAGCAGTCAGACCTTCGGCCCCCAGCTCACTGTGTCTCTCCCCCAGCTTCGCAGAGGGTGCAGGCTCCTGGCAGTCGGCATTCACGGCTGTAGCAGCTCCTGAGTTCGTGGAGGGACAGCTGGGCAGCAGAAGGAAGAGCTGAGTGGTGCGTCTCTGTGTCTACAGCACAGTTTTCAGGTGTATCCACAGAAACCCTAATCACCCAAGAGAGACACAGAGGAGGCAGGAGAAAAACTGGAGGGTTCTGGATCGGGTTGTCTTGATTCATATCCCAAAATCTACCTCTTCCTGGCTAGGGCATGTTGGTAGGCTAAACTTGAGAGCAATTGAAATTATACCATAGGCATCCTGGCAGCATTTTATTGAGTTATGATGAGTAATTTCTATGAAGTATCTCTGATCAGTGGAGAATATTGTTATGAACCTCTGGAGAAAAGGCCCAGATTCTGGGCCACCCATCAGGTTCCCAAATGCAGATCTAATCACCTCACCTCCTGGTTGTTAGGGTTGTCTTTCTGCTCTGGGTTCTCCCAAAGCACCATGAGAACACTTTGCCCCATCGCTGGCTTATCCTCTAGGTCCTTCATTGTGAATCCCCATCCCAGGGAGGCTGGGAATGAAAGAGGGGATCCCCAGACTTTGGGGTCCTGTAAATGGTGGTGTCATGAACATGTTAGTCCTTCCTTGGAGCTCACTGCAGCCACCAGTCCCCAGACAAGAGTTTCTCTCCTTTGCTCTGGGCTTCGGGGGAGGCCAAACACCAGGGCGCTGGGTAGAGCTCGTGGCCAGAGCTGGCTGCGCCTTCTCGGCGTGCTCAGGGTTGAGATGAGGGCAGGAGGACACTCCGGAATGTTTTTGAGTGCTTATTACGTGCTGGCCACCGAGTCATGCCTTGTGTGTGAATTTCTCATTCAATCTTCACAGCAGCAGTTTGAAGAAGGAATTATCTCTGGCCATATTTTAATGAAGAGGGCTGCAAAGATGAGGACATCGCCTTAGTCCCATAGCTAGTGAATGCTGGCGCTCAGAGTTGGACCGGGGCAGTCTGACACCAGGCTCAAACTGAGAGGCAAATGGGGAAGGGGAGGAGACTTAGCCCGTCTGCATTGGCAGAGGCTATGAGCTCTGGCAGCCCTGTGTTTGTCTCACCGTGGTGGGCTGCAGGTCCCTTCTGTAATGAAAGTTTCATTTTCCCATTCATCCAATTTGCCCTGGCTTGAATTTTATCTCCCTGCAGATTAGATTCTCCCAAGATTCTGTTGTAGGTGCTTGCATGTTTGACGTATATGAAATAACATGCAGAACCCTAAATGGAGAGTTTCGCTGGCAATCTGTAACAAGTCTTCCCTGTTCACTGGACTTTTCCCTCTGATAAGTGTCAGTTTTTAAATGTTCTCTGTCTCCCTGCCTGATATCATGTGGAATTATTATCAATGTTACTTCTATTATGTTTATCAGTTAAATTGTACTTAAACTTCATATAAGATAATCACTGAATGTAGGATTCTATAGTCAGATCCTCCTAGGTTAAAAATCCTAGCTCTACTATCTATGTGGCCTGACCCAATTTTTTCAGTTTCACTTCTCAAACTTCTCCTCTGTAAAATGGGCAAAATGTTCCTTATGGAGTTGCTCAGTGAGGTAATGCATTTAAATGTCTAGTTCAGGTTCTTATTACCATTATTACACAATTTTCTGTGAATGATAAGAGAACAGATTTGAGGTTGTATTTTAATTAATACAGGTTTTGTGTTTTTTATTTGACCCTTTTTTTCTTTAGGTCATGAGGAGAAGTGTATAAGGAACAACAGTGTTTACTAATAGCTTTCAGGAGTTGGAATAGATAGTGTTCTTTTCAAAAGGGAGGGACCTGAGGTTTTTGAGGTGGGGGTCGGGGATGGCTGAAAGGCTCTTGAACTTCTAAGATGGTCCAGGTGGACTTGATTTCTTAGTAAAATAAAGGGACTTCCTTCCTTAGTGGAAAAGAGACACCGAGTGATAAACCAAGTACTGTCTTTGAAAATTTCCCCTGATATTTGTCCCTAGAGGCGTGTGCCTCAGGGAGATTTATTGTTCGAAGCTTTTAGCCTCAAGCTTAATTTTAAAGGTATGTATTCAGTATTTCCCTAGAAACAGAGCAGCTCCGTTTAGAAGTCATGGGTGCGCCCAGGCTCTGCTCAGATTACCTCAAGTTTCACTTAATACCAGCCTCAGAGCTGGAGGCGAATCATTTATTTCATCACTTGGAGAAAGGATTATCCTTTTTTCGCTTTTCCTATCAGGCCCTGCTGTCTTGTGGACGGGGACACACGCCTCCACACACGCCTCCAAAGACAAAAAATGAGCAGGAGTAAAGCCAGAGCCGTTCAATGTGTGAAAACGTTGAAGTCGGGGCATCACCTTCCCTTGGCGGCCTGATGCACCCTGCTTATCCCCTGGAAGGACTGACGCTGAGGCTGAAGCTCCGGTACTTTGGCCACCTGATGTGAAGAGCTGACTCACTGGAGAAGTGACTAAACAACAGCAACACTTAACAATCCAGTTCAGTTCAGTTGCATCTGACTCTTTGCGTGGAGACTGCAGCACGCCAGGCCTCCCTGTCCGTCACCAACTCCCTGAGTTTACTGAAACTCATGTCCATCAAGTTGGTGATATCATCCAACCATATCACCCTCTGTTGTCCCCTTCTCCTCCTGCCTTCAATCTTTCCCAGCATCAGGGTTTTTTCCGATGAGTCAGCTCTTTGCATGGCCAAAGTATTGAGTTTCAGCTTCAGCATCAGTCCTTCCAATGACTATTCAGGACTGATTTTCTTTAGGATGGACTGGTTGGATCTCCTTGCAGTTCAAGGGACTCTCAAGAGTCTTCTCCAACACCACAGTTCAAAAGCATCAATTCTTTGGCGCTCAGCTTTCTTTAATAGTCCAATTCTCACATCCATACATGACTACTGGAAAAACCATAGCTTTGACTAGACAGACCTTTGTTGACAAAGTAATGTCTTTGTTTTTTAATATGCTGTCTAGGTTGGTCATAGCTTTTCTTCCAAGGAGCAAGCATCTTTTAATTTCGTGGCTGCAGTCACCATCTGCAGTGATTTTGGAGCTCAAGAAAATAAAGTCTCTTACTGTTTCCACTGTTTCCCCATCTATTTGCCATGAAGTGATGGGACTGGATGCCATGATCTCA